GGAAGACAAACGTGTTTGACGCTCGTGGGTAAGGAAATGGTTGTAGACACCGAAGAGAGGTGTGATGGGGTGGAGTAGGATGGCTCCGAGGAATTGGCCTTGGCAGTGGGAATGGAGAAGAGTAATAACCATCCACCCCTCAGGTTGTGTGCCCGTGTGTGCCAGAGTGTGAGGAAGGGGGTAACTACGACTCCCACAGACATCACCACGCATGACGAAGCTACTTCCCCTCATGCGATCCAAGGCGCACACGCGGCGATTCACGGCCACGCCCGCTCACACTCACAGGGAATCTGAAGGTCTGGTTGCCATGGCGAGCAGGAGCGCGTGAGTCCGGCAGCCCCTTCGCCCCCAGCAGAGCCTTGTCAACTCCAGCTCTGATTGGCCGCTGTTGCCTTATTATGCAAATTATTTGCGTAGACTCCAAGGACTGCTGCCTGACGTCACCAATCACGAGTGTGGAGCTCAGGGCTCGGCTCCGGGAAAGCTCGGGCGGGAGCCCAGAGAGCTCCGGACCCGGACCTCAAGCCAGACCCGCGTCCCGCCGGCTCATTCTGGGCCTGCCCCGCCCACGGCCCCGCCCCCCCTTTATTCCGGCCCCACCCTCTTTACGGCGCCCCTCCACCCAGGGACCCCCGCCCCCCTGTTGCAGCGGTCCCCGCCCTCGCCGCCCCTGGCCCCCGCCCTCTCCCCTCCTGGCCCCTCGCCTCCGGTCCTGGGAGGGGACGGCGGGACCGGCGGGACCGGCGGGACCGGAGGGAGGGAGGACTGGTCGGGGAGATGGGCGCGGCGCCCGGAGGGTCAGCGCCGCCCACCGGCCCCGTCCCGCGCTTGGGTTTCAGCACCGCGGACAGCGGCGTCGGCTTGAGCGGGCTAAACCCAGGTCCTGCCGTGCCCATGAAGGACCACGACGCCATCAAGCTCTTCGTGGGGCAGATCCGCGGGGCTTGGATGAGCAGGACCTCAAGCCGCTGTTTGAGGAGTTCGGCCGCATCTACGAGCTGACGGTGCTGAAGGACCGGCTCACCGGCCTCCATAAAGGTGCGCGGGGTCAGCCCAGCCCAGCCCAGCCCAGCCCTACCCAGCCCTACCCAGCCCTACCCAACCCTGCCCAGCCCTGTCCAGCCCTGCCCAGCCCCAATCCGATTAGAGTTCGGCCCAGCCCAAACTCCAGCCTCAACCACAGCCCCAACCGTAGCCTTACCTAGATCCAGTCCTACACTAGTCTAACACCAGCCTCACTTCAACCCACTATCCTCCCCAGTTCACAGAGCCCCGAACCCAGAATTTTCTCTGACATGCTCCCTCTGATCATCACTCTGGTTCCCTGACATGTTCTGCACTCTAACCTCCAACTTCCTACATCCCAACAGTCCCCGCCTTTCAGTTGGATCTCCCTCCACCCCTCTCATCAGACATCCCAAATCCTGGAATTTGGAAACTTATTCCACCTTCTTGGTCTCTAATACCCTCAATCTCCCAAATGCTGGACCAAATCATTCCTGAATATCCTCATCTGGTGCCACCCTACTCAGACCTAACCATCCACGCACATATCTTGGACTTGTACCACTCATTCTGGCCTCCAAGCCCAGCCAACCTCCAGAGCCTTCTTTTGACCCTTAGACTGCCAACCTGAAATGCCACAGGTCCAAACTTGACCCTTCTTCAGAACCCAGGCCTAGTTAACTCACAAAATCCAATCCCCCTCCTAGCTCCAAATTCCACCCTCATGTTTAATAGTAAATCTCTCCAACCCCTGCCAGAATTACAACATAGTGTTCTTCTGATTTGAGTCCAGAACCCTAACCTCAGCTTGGAACTCGTGCTCCCTCATCTCAGGTTTTCTCTCAACTGAACCCACACTACTTTCGTGCTCTAATCTCCCCAATTCTATGCCTCATCTTTGTCCCTCCACAATCCTCCTATAGCATTCTGCTTTCCCTCCCTTACAGTCTAGTCCTGGACCAGAGCCTGTGGACCAAAGCCTTAGGGTGGGTCAGGTTGAAGAGGCAGAAAGGGTCTTTTCCCTGCCCTTGCTAGAGAGACAGAGATAACATAGTCTTGTGCAGCCACACCCCTTTCTTCCGTAGAGAGAGGGAGGAGGCTGTTTACATGCAGACAAGTCTGTCCAAGCTAGCTGGAGTAAGAGAGTCAGAGTCACATGTCATACATGGGTGGGGGAAGGAAATGATATGAGGAGAAACACCTTTATCTCTCCTTACCTTCACCATACTGTGGTTTCAGGATTTGGTGAGGAAGGCAGTTTTACCTACTATCCTCCATGATCTTTTTAGAAAAGAAGTTGTGGGCCCTGGGTAACAGCTAAATGTACTTTCCTAAGGGCTGAGAGCTGTAATCAGGCTGCCACCTCTTTTCCACTGGGACACCTTGGGGAGTTCCTAGGCACACTAATATAGGGGCTTCAGTAAAATAAATGCCCATAGAAGCTCTAGGACCAGCTAGGTAGCAGTGTATCTTCTACCTTTTGGGCTAAGGTTATATTAAATGGGGCATAAAAGGACAAGACTATACCACCCAGATTCCTTCTAATTCAATCCAGCTGCCTGGCTGTCCATATCCATAGCAATTTATTTTCTTATTTTCTAGACACTTATTTTAGTATGTAAGTTCAAGCTAATCTTTTAAGGCCATCTTTACAATAAGGGCAGTGTATGGAATACCTTTAATTCTCACTCTTCTCACTCTTTTCACCATCAGAGTCTCTGACTATTTCCTTATCCTCTCTCTCCCTCCCTCCCATTTTTCCTCCCTCCTCCTTTCTCTATTTAGCTCTAATTCTTCCTGCTTTTCATTCATCTGTCTTTACATGCTTTCCTGTCTTTCCATCCCTCATTCTCCCATCCCCATCCCAGTAGTCCATATAGGCTCCTTTAGGCCACAACTGGGCCCCTGAACCTTTCAGACAGGGCCCCAGCCCTGCCCAGTTCCGATGTCAGCTGATATGGTGTGTTGACAGAAGATGGAGCAGAGATGTAAGCAGAATCAGGTGTTTGGTGATTTAGCTCCCAACCAACCTGCAACTCTCCAAGGCAGGGTTGCCTTGCAAGATGATCAGGGAGGGTCTCCAAGTCAGCATCTTCCCCCACCCTCTCCCCAGCAGTAGTGACGTCCAAAACCAGAGTGACTCATTTTCCTTTTGGTGGCTGGGTACAGAGGGAGGCAGCCACAGTGCTTTGAAAACAACCTTAGCCTAGGAGTTAAGAGACTCCAAATCCAATCCTGCCACTGACACACACTCTGGGCTTCAGTTTCCCTATTGATACAATAAGTGTTTGTCCCAGGAGTTCTCTAAGGTTCCTTTCATGCAACAAATGGCAGATATCCACCCACCTTAAGGGGCCACCCAAATAGAAGACATAGGAGAAAATGTTTCCATTTGCCTTTCTAGTCTGCTGAGATCTAAGTGGAAAATTGCACCAAGCTCCTTCCTACATCTACTTTCTCTTCCTTCAGTCTTCCTCCTTCCTACATTCAAAGACTCTCTCTAGAAACATATCTTATGTCACAACACTGCTTAAAACCCTTTAGTAGCTTTCCACTGCTCCTAGGAAAAAAAGTTCAAAATCCAGACAAGATTATAGAAGACCTGATCCCTGAATACCTAACTGGCCACTCTGCCCCCATTACCAATCTTCAACCATACTAGCCTTCCATCCATTTCCCCAACACACTGGATTCTTGACTGAGTTTTTATATGTGCTATTTCCTCTGTCTGAAATAATCACCACCCTTCTTGTCATCTGGTTAAACTCTATTTATTGTTGAGAACTCGATGTACTCTGAGATACTTCTCAATTCTTTGGACTCGGATGCATGCTCCTCATGATCCTTTACATTATTCCCATGAGGGTGGAGAATGTGTCTGTTTTGTTGCCACTTTATCCCCAAGTCCATCGTAATGCCCCATCAAAATAAGTGAGTGAGTGCTCAATGCCTGTTGGAAAGGAAGAGATCCCCGACCCAATGCTTCCTAGCAGGTTAAGGTTCTGAGGCTGAACAAAGAGGGGTAGGACTGACCCTTTGGTTCAATTCAGACTCCTCCTCCACCCTATTTCTACTGGCTGTTTTAAAGAAGTCAGATTTGAGGCACAATAACCCTTTAAGAGGCCCTATCTTGAAGACTTGGGAGAAATAACATGATCAAGCTCCTTGGATAGGATGGGAGAGCACTGGAAGTTTTTACTTACAGGAAGCCCTTAAACCAGCCTCATCTTCCAAACCTCAAATTAACCCATTCCTCGGCTTCAAACTAGGAGGAAGGAAGTGTTAAGAAACTGTGGGGTTCTGGGCTTGGATCCCAACCCTCCTCCTCCTCTTCTGCCTCCTCTCATTGAAAATGAGTTGGGAGACAGTATGATTCCAAAAAGGAAAAGGAAGGCTGGGGTTAAAGCTGAAGGCAAAGTGGCCTAATGAGGTTTAACCCCAGCACGATTATGGCTGGAGTGGTGAGGAGAGATGTGGAATTGTATAAGCATGTGACTGGGTGTGAGTACACATGTTCCCTAGGCCAAGAGAAAATGAGAAAGAGTCAGAGGCACATGAAGCCCCTCCCTTCAGAGAAGAAGCAGTGTCTTTGGTTAAAGGAAAGTGACCTTGAGTTTGTCAATTTAATGGGGTCTTTATAGGAAGAGTATTTGGGGGTTTCAGGAAATCCCCTGAGCCAGCCTCTTCCTCCCCAGGCTGTGCCTTCCTCACCTACTGCGCCCGGGACTCTGCTCTCAAGGCTCAGAGTGCACTGCACGAGCAGAAGACCCTGCCAGGGGTAAGTCCACCAGCACTTGGGGGGTGGGGATGGGAATCACCTCAGACTTGGGACATGCCCTACATGCATGCCAAAGCAGCATGTAGGAGCTGGATTGGAACCAGAAACTAGCAGCAGCAGCATCTTTGTAGAAGAGGGCTTACTTGTGCTCTGAACAGCTACAGGTTCTTTTTTATATTCAGTCTTCTGGCTCAAAGAAATGAGCTCAAGACCCTTGCCTCAAGTGTCCCACTCCATCTTTTAGGAGAGGCATCAGTGTTGTGAGCCATACAATTTGTCCACCTTGGCTGAAATCATGGCTTCTAGTGACATTTGTCACTGGTGTGAACATGGATGCAGATACATAAGCAGTGGTTCTCAACCTTCTGGCCCTTTAAATACAGTTGCTCATGTTGTGACCCAACCATAAAATTATTTTCGTTGCTACTTCATAACTGTAATGTTGCTGCTGTTATGAATCATCATGTAAATATCTGATATGCAGGATGGTCTTAGGTGACCCCTGTGAAAGGGTCGTTCGACCGCCAAAGGGGTCACGACCCACAGGTTGAGAACCGCTGGTTTAGAGGCTCTGCTGGGATGATATTCCATGTTCTCCAGTATTAGGATTCTTGATGGCAGGTCCCTCTGGTCCTCTTCCTGTAATTTTTTTGGGATACCTTGACTCACCAAGATTGCCTTCCCTCTATACCTTAAACACTTGGCTAAAGTTAAGAGAGACATGATTCTACAAGGTAGCTGGGCCATTATATATCAGTGGCACCTAGCATGGCCTTGGCTAATGGCTAATCACTGGCCAAAAGGCAAAGTGGGATCTATTGACCATGTGGCAGGAAGAAAGTGGTGATTTTTAGGAACTAGCATAGGTTCACCAAGATCCAGTAGTCATAGTACCCATCCTCATTTTCTCTTGTCCAAGGAGTGATGTGTCTAAAACAAAAGCACTATTGAAATGCCCCTAGTCAGGTCAAACCTGGGACTATATCCAGTTCTAGGCTTCAGATTTAAGAGGGTCATTAGCCTACCATAAAGAGACCATGATAGGAAATAAAATATACTAATATATGGAATGATAGTTCGAAGAAATTGGAGATATTTAGCTGAGAAGATAGGGTTTAGTCGGGGAGCTTTATTAGGGAGGCATCATAACATAATAATTAAGAGTACTAGTTTTCTAGTCTCAAAGACCTGGATTTGAATCCCAGCTCTGCCATTTACCAGTTTGGTGTCTCTGAATACATTACATAGCTTCTTGAACTCCAATTTCCTCATGAATAAGGAGTGGGTTATACTAACACTTAGTTCACTAGGTTCTCATGAGGATTAACTGAAGTTTAGCAAGAGTCTGTCACAGAGTAGGATCTTGATAAACATTACTGTTAGGAGTGGGGATAACCATTTTCAGATTCTAAAGAGGGATTTGTTTTTTATATGGCTCCAGGGTCCAGGATTAGGATTAGTGGGTATAAAGAACAGACACAATAATTTCAGTTCAGTATAAAGAAGTCATCCCTTTGAATTGCATATGCCATGAAATGGGACAAGCTTTGCCTAGAGCTGATCAAGCTGTTAATGGGGTGTCAGATCCTAGAATCTTAGTGATTGAAGCAACTTGAGCCTCACTCTTGAAGATTCAGTGCCAAGTAACGCCAACATATCACCCTCACCAATCCTCTGTATGCAGGCTCTGGAGTCAGACAGACCTGGGTGTGGATCCGGGCCCCACCACTCACTAATTCTGTGACATGGAGCAAGTCTTTATCTCTCTAAGCCTAACCTTTCTCTCTGTAAAACTGAACTCATAGGGCTGTTATAATAATTAAATAAACTAAGTCATATAAAGTGCTTAACACAGTATTTGGTAGACAGTAAGCAGTCAATAGTTAGCTGGTGGTAGTAGTAGTAAAATGGCAGCATTAGTAGAGTAGGAGTAGTAGAAGTCATTCATCCAACCATAGGAATAAATGACTTCTGCTGCTCAAATTAGAATTATCACTGAGGCAAACTGTAACATTTCATGTAGGAAACAGCATGGTAACGGTGCAGAGACAAAAGGAACAGGCTGGGTGTAAAATGAGGTTGGAAGCATGGAGGAGGGCCCATGGGAGCATGGGCCTGGCCACAGAGAAGATCCACAGAGGGCAGTGTTTGAAGAGGAAACTTTGGATACCAGGCTGAGGAGTTTGAATTTTATCCTGAAAGCAAGTGAAAGCCCCTGAAAAGAATTAAGATGGACTTTGGGAGAATAAAACCCCTCCTCAATGAGCCATAGGACTCCACAAAATAAGGGATACCTAGAGGACTCTATGAACTGAAGGCACCTGATATAAGACTACTGGGATAATTTCTGGGGGAGAAAAAGAGAAATAAAGAAGGCAATATTTATTGATTCCAGAACTTTACAAGTTCAAAGTCATTTAGTCCTCTATGAATAAGGTTTTGTTATTGGCACTCCCATTTTACAGGTGAAGAAAATGGACATAGAAAACAAGTGACTTGCCTAAGGTCATGTAGCTACTAATGGGAAGATCTGGGCATTAAGGCCAGCTAGTCTGGCTCCAGAATTCATTCAGTTACCTGAGCCAATGTGGTGACAGGCAGAAGTCTAAGATTCTGGAGGGGTTGGTGACTGAATACTTCTGCCCCCTCCGACTATTTCATCTGCAGTCTTCCAGCATAGCCTGGCTTCCTCTGGTACTGCAGGAATTGGCTTTATTCACCCTCCCTAGTTTAACAAAGTGAAAATTAATATTTAATTCTCCTAAATGAAAATCAATGGCTTTGTTGGCTAGCCCCAGCAATGTCTGTGCCATCAATCTTTTCTCTGGGCCTGCCAGGGGCAGTGGCAGCTTTAGTCACCTGGCCTCACCCACACCAGCATGGGGGGAGGTAGGTGCCCAGCTCTCTGCAAGCACTAGGTCTTGGGCATAGCTGCCATCTGCTGGAGAGCAGGAATAAGATCAATCTGGGCTCCTGGAGACAGGCAGGACTATCACTGTGACCAGGAAATGTTGGGTCAGCTCCGAAGAGAAACCCCTAGGGTAACTGCTGATCTGGGACCTCTCCTTGGTTCCCTTCCACCCGCTAACTTTTGTCACCTATCAAAGCTTGGCTTCCTTCAGACTTCAGTCATCTGTTCCATCTTCTGCAGCTCCTTCTCCATGAAGCTAGAAACACTTCTTTCAGTCTCACTTTAGGCTCCAGAATGTACCTGAGGAAGGTGAAGCCCAACCTCCGCCCCACCTTCAGAAGGTGCCCTCTTATTTGTCTCTCTCCCTGCTTATGACCTTCTTTCCCTTGGGCATCCAACCCTTCAAACACTGTGAAGGAGTCAGATATAACTGAGTAGATTTGCTTTTGCAGGTTGTGCCCTGCACAAAACAGCTTGAGTGGAAAGGACAGATAGGGGCTAAAATCCAGCCATGCTCTACTGACCAAGCTATGTGCATTTGCACAGAAATGTGTCATCCAGAGAATGGGACACATTTTTTCTAAGTCACACAAAGGCATTTATGTGCTAGCAGCCACCCAGTGAGTGAGTCAGAGCCTTTGTCTTCAAAAAGCTTCAAGCCTAGAAGTAACTCATTGCATCTCAGTGGGGTTCACATCTAAGTGTGTAAAAGAAGCATCAGGAGTGAAGAGGGAGAAGCTTCACAGAGGAGATGCTATCAGAGCTGAATAGTGATCAGATCCTATATAATAAAAGGCTAATATGCAAATTGTCCCCTCAACAGGGAGTTCAACCAGGAGTTCGACCAGGGGGCGGTGCCGGCCTGCCAACCGCCAGTGGCTCCTCTCTCTGGCCAGCCTGGCCTGATAGGCCCGATCAGGGTGGGCCAGCTGGACCCCACCCATGCACGAATTCGTGCACTGGGCCTCTAGTATAATCATATTTGAGTATTTAGAAACCTAAAGACAAAGGCCACTTCTGGAATTCTGGGGTCAGTGTGAGAACTGGTAGGGAAGGTGTCCAGCAAAGATGGCTAAGGCTCCATGTGAATGGAGAGTATTGTGTATCTTGTGCAGCAGGGCAGGCAGAACTCACACATTTTGACTGCCGGTCTTGGGATTGGGATCTCAGGCTTTACTGGGAGGTTTGCAATGGAGAACTGTTGGAAGATTTTAAGCATGGGAGAGTGAGGGACTGGTTTTAAAAGATCACTCAGGCTACAGTGTGAAGGTTGGTTTGGAAAGGAAGCAACATTGGAGGCAGGATGACCCTTTAGAGCACTGTTGCTTGAGTGCAAATGAATGATGACACTAACCTGGAGCTGGGGATAGGGCAGGAATGGGAGAAGAGGAGGAACTTGAGGATCCCTATATAGATTCTAGAACCAATGAGACTTGGTAGTAAATTGAATTAGAGAAGGGGGATAAAGTAGAACAACATACTGAAAACAGTGACGTTTGCTTTTTCTCTGCATTACCCTTCCCTGCACCCATGACACCTCTCTTAGAATCACCAATGGTCCCTTCTTCAGGAAAGTTCTGATAAACACTCTTTCCATGGTAGGGGAAGGGACTGAGGGCATGAGTGCTGAGTGGAGGGAGGATTTGGCATCAGAACAGAAGAGTCTGAAGACAGCAGTGCTGAGTCTAAAGGCATGAATTTTAGGCAAGTCAAGGAGAAAGAAGGGATAAAGTGTTGCCTTCTCTCTGTTGATGGGGGCAAAAGGACCAGGGTATCATGCCTATCTGTACTGCCTCCAACCTTCCCCACTTCACTGCCTGGAGTAGGTTGTTCTCTTCTCTTTCTGATGTTCTCTCTCTTGGTTTCCCATCCAAGGCTGGTTCTGAAGAAGACATGAGCCTGGACTCTACCTAAGAAACTATCAAGGGAATAGGTGCTCAGCCAAGCTCAAGAGCTCACTTGAGTTCCCATGAGAAGTTCTTGGCCAAGGAAGCAAAGCCTTCCTTTCTCCAAAGGGGAACCATGATTATCTCATCCCACTCCCAAGTCTGTCCCCTGGTTGTGGCAGGAACAAGGCAGGGCAGGGTTGCCCGGGCAGTTCATGTGGGCAGCCCTTTTTCTCCTTCAGCCACATAGACTACACCTAAATTGTGGGTGTCCTCCCTAACCACTTCACAGTGGAAACCGAAGGCCCAGAGCTCAATTTTGTCCTCATCCTCTTGTGCTACTCTCCTGCAGACTTCCCCTGCACCTCCAAACTTCCAAACTGCCAACTTCCCCAAAACCTAAGCTATAAACTGAGAGTCAGCCAACATTTTCTCCTTTCCCTCAATCCCCACATCTGCTAGAACTTTAGTCCAGTTAATTCTCCTGAAACATCTCTTGAATCTGTCCATTTCTTTCTGCCCTGCTCTAGGTTACCCTCCCCCTTTACCTGTATCACACTGGTTTTTCTACCTCTAATCTTCCCTTTCAAATCTTTTCTCTGCATGGTGACAGCTCATGGGATCTTTCATAAGATTATTCCCCTAGTTAAAATCCTTTCCTGGATCCTTATTGCCTTTGAAATACAACAAAGTCAAAATTCCTTGTCATGGTTTTCAAAACCTGTCCTGTTCTGGCCCCTGCCTACCTTTGTTTCACACCCTCCCACTAAAAAAAGAAAAGAAAAGAAGAAGAAGAAGCCCATATTACATTTGATGCACCTACTAAGACGTAGCCATTGTCATTTTCACCACAACCCTGCAAAGTAGGGTCATGGTTTTCCTTTTTACTTATGTGGCTCAGAGAACTTAGTTGACAATGGTTGAGCTAGGATTTAAATCTACGTCTATCTGACTCTAAAGTAATTTGTTCTCTGCTGGCTACCTCCATGCCCACCAGAACCCTTGCTCCTTGTTCAGACTGGCAGCTCCCTCTCCATGCCCAAGGCATCTGGAGTGCTCAGCTTGCCGCCCTACCTCTCCCATTATCTCCACATGACCCAATGACTCTAGTCCTGCAAATGACCCCTCAGGTCAAATCTGCCTCCTCCATGAAGTTTTCCCTGAGTCAACCTCTCCACCTGGAGTCAGCTTCTCCCAGAGCACATTACCTTGCACTCCTCCTAAGGCTCCAGTCCCTCTGTGCCCCTTTTCTTGTGTTCATGTCTTAAAAACAGAGTCCAGCAGCTCAATGCAAAAATCAATGACTTCAGTGTCAGACAGAAGTGGGGGAAATTTTAGCTCAACCACTTACCCACCACGTGATCTTAGACATGTGATTATCCTCCCCCACCTTCAGCTTTCTTGTCTATAGTATGGAGACAATGGTATTACCTTGCATAGTGGTTGAAAGAAATTTAGAGACAATGTATGTAAAATGCCCAGGAAGGGCCTGGCGCACACTAGGCTCTCAGCAAATGGTGGCATTATGTTCCCCTCTGTGAGACTTTGAGGATAGGGTTCCTGTGGTCATCACTGTCTCCCCTAAAGGCCCCAGCCTGGGGATCTTGACAGAGTTCAGAAAATGCTAGTAGCATGCCCAAGTGGTGGAAAGCCTAGCTGCCCAACTTCTCCCTCCTGGTCCTTGTAGGACATGTACATACCACCTAATGCCCACTCTCCATCAAAGAGTGGGGAAGTTGGAGAGGAGGACGGGGGCATCCCCCAGAACACCGATGAGCTCTATGTCCCCAGAAATCCAGCCTGGGGAGGCAGCTGCTGTGGAAACCACTGCTGTCACATGTGCTCATTTCTCTATGCTCCAGACAGAAATGCTCAATATTTATTTAAGCTTCTCTCCTCTTTCCTTTCCCCCTACCACGCTCCTCCCTGCCTTTCCTTCCTTACCCCTTGTCCCCTCATTTCCTTCTTATCTCCATCAGTATTTCTCTCTTCCCTTACCCCTTTCTAGGTCTGTCTCTTATTCTCTCTCATGATTTCTGCCTTCCCATTTCTCTTCATCTCTTCTCATGTCTCCACTCTTCTATCTCTTGGTCTCTCCTCCACAATCACAAGTGGCCATGCCAAGGGACGGGTCCTGTCCTCCTGGTCCCTGGTCCTGCTTGGATTGATCTGTCACCCTCTCTAGACTGCAGCCTGAGTCCTGCTGGTGTCTTGGTCCTCCTGCTGGTGTCTTGGTCCCCACTCACAGTGGTACACTGCGGGTGCTCCACCACCAGTGAAACATGAGCTTTGGGTGAGAGGGTAATAGCACTGATTGAGACTTGGCCTGTTTTCCTTTCCTAAAAAAAAAAAAAAAAAAAAAAAAAAAAAAAAAAAAAAAAGCCCTCCTTACTCTCCATCTTCAAATTTTATCAAAGGAAATTGCTCAGCTGCGACTGCCAGGGCATTACCATGGTTACCGGGTAGCACTTGTGGCTATGGTAACAGGAAGCTGCCTGTTGTCTCGGCAACAAGTACATTGGTAGAGGATGGAGTGGCTCTTGATTGGTGCAAAAATAGTGCATGTCCTCAGAGGAGGGAGCCAGATCATAACCTTCTCAGGCCAGAGAAGGCATCAGTACTCCTTCACCATGACTTGGAAGGCCACTGTTCTTTCTTCCTGGCAATCAGCTGTCTGTCCCAACAATAATTCCTCACACCCTATGCACCCAGCTCTTGGACATTTACAAAGACCTTTTGTGCCCCCATTATTTCATGTGATCCACAACACCAAAGAGAGGAAAGTGAGGTGGGGATTCAGTCATGAGTTCTCTCAGGGTGATTGGGGGATGGGAATGTGTGGAGTGGGGTATATTTACATCACCTAAGAACTTGTACAAATCCCCCAGCTTAAGAATCTGATTTGGTTCCCAAGTGATTCTTATCCACCCCTGATCAGGGAACCCCTGAATTAGAAGGTGAAATTGGTTGGGGGGATGGGGGGCGGAGAAAGGAGTCAAGCTGTTTTTTGGGCTTATAGCTTAGATGACTGGAAGAATCAGGTTTGAGAAAAAGATGAACTCTGGTTTTGATGTGTCAAGTGGAAGGTGCCAGTGAGACTTTCTAGTGGATGCCCAGCAAGCAGCTGGGCATGTGGGTCTGAAGCTCGGAAGAGAGGTGGTTGGATGAGATTATCCAGGAAGAATGAGAGGAACAGAATGAGCAGGGCTGAAGATGATGCCCTGAAGAACTCTAACATCCTCAGGGGAAGGGGGATCCAGGAGGGGACTGAGGCGTAGAAACTATGGTGACACAAAAGCTTGGTAAAGGTTCTCCCCCATTTAACAACTTGAATCAGAAAGTAGCTTACTGGAAATCATACAACCATTAAATGGCAGAGTTGGGAATAGACAGCACTAAGTCTGTCTGGTTCCAGATTGTTTAATCTAAATGGTACAGAATTATATTCTATTTGAGGCCACAAATCTGCAATATCAGTTCTTCTCTCCATCCAAAGCCTTTAAGGAAGTCCAGGAGCCAGAGGGATAGGCCTCACATGGTCCCTGCCCAGAGCCCAAGGTAAGAGAATCTCATTAGCCTCCACAGTCTTTCCTGCACTTGCCACTGAGCTTCCTAACACCCAACCCTTCAGGTTTTAAGCACCTTGTAAATTCCCAGGTTTACGGAAGGAATCTTGGAGAAAATCTATAATCCCAGGTGAGACAGGTGGAGTGCAGAGTTCAAAGGTGCCAGAGCTTAGATCCTGAGGAGTCAGGGATGGAGAAGCCGGGAGGCCCAAGGGCCAGGCAGTCATGCTGACTGGGTATGTTGGTCCGATGTCTTTCAGATGAACCGTCCAATCCAAGTGAAGCCAGCTGCCAGTGAGGGCCGAGGAGGTAACTTCCCTGCCTGATAAACCTCAGGGTATCACCCATGTAGGGGATAATGGATCCACTCCTGGAGTCAGTTCTACCAATGGTTTATTACTAGAACCTCCTTGGGTAAGGGGACAAGTGGGGTCCAGAGTTGCTCCATTCTAGAAACAGCTTAGCCATCCCAGCTCAGACTAAGAAGGGATGAGACCTGGCTGGTGTGGCTCAGTTGATTGGGCATCATCCTGTGCACCAAAAGGTTGCCAGTTCCATTTCTGGTCAGGGTACATGCCAGGGATGTGGGGTCCATCCCTGATGGGTGTGCAAGAGGCAGCTGATTGATGTTTATCTCTTTCCTTTCCTCTCTCTCTAAAAATCAATTTTAAAATCTTAAAAATAAAGAAGAAGGGATGAGGCCCCAGGGTCCCCAGACCCAAAAGAGGCTGGAAGAGCCTAAGCAGATGCTGGAGATAGAGGAAGGAGGCTCTTTTCACCTTTCCCCTTGAGAGGGTTCATTCTGTTTTTCCAGGTTCTTCTTTGTTTGAAGAATGAGGGTAGAGTTAGTCTCCTTTTCTAGATTCTTCTGATTGCAGAGAACCCAGTCCACTCTAGGTTGGGCCACTCATTCCTTCATTGTAATTGCCTGGCTATTCATGGTCAAAGATGAGACTGATGTAATGGACTTTGTAGGCCATATTAAGGAATTTGACTCTCTGCTGAAGACCATGGGATGACTTTGAAAGGCTTTTAACTGCACTGTTTCCTGGTGCAGAAAGACCAATGCTCCTTAAGAACAGGAGTGGTTGAAACCTGTGCTTTTTGACAACCAGCTGTGTTCTGATCAGCTTCCATGCTGGAAAAGCAATGCGAACATTGGTGTCAGTTTTTGATGTCTTTCTCCCTCTTTATTCGCTGGTAGCCCTCCCTGATGTCTGCTGACTATAATCCTTAGCTAAGCCTCTGCCTGCCTTACCCAAGATCAGCCATGGCTTTGTTAGGAGAAAGTAGCTTTCCAAGGTCAAGGAGAGAATGGCATCCAACTGACAGATATTTATTGACCTCGACTCATTCTGCATATCTTCTCAGACTTCATGCTCAGAACAAGGGGCTCTGGTAGCTCCATGGTTCTATTGTAGAGTTAGTTCCTCTAAGAAATTCTTCTTTCATCCTTTTAGATTCTCTGACCTCTGGTCTCCAATTCTCAGTTTCTGGTCAAGATGTTATTACCCCTTCTTTGCCTGAAGAGATATTACCAAGCTTCCTTCCTCCCCTCCACACACATATCCATCTTTCCCATCTCATTCTTTCCAGCCCGGTCTTTGAGAAGTTCCAGGCCATATACCAAACCTCTGGTTTACTTGTCCCCAAAATTTCCGCTTGAAATTCTGTTAGGCATCGAGACCATTGTTGGCCAGCTTCTATGCCCTACCTACAAACACTACAGTCCCACAGCTGAGAGTATCCAATGAGCTAAGAAGCAGATAGGCTGGGATGCAGTTCATTCAACAATCCAACCAATATCTTCTGAGGAAATACTCCACATTAGAAATACAGATGTGAGCAAGGCAGACCTGGCACTTGGCCTCATGGAGCTCTAGAGCGATGTACAATTCAGTGTGATCAGTTCTTTTCAAGTCCTGGGGGAACTGTGAGGACACAAACAAAAGGCACATAACTTAGGGAGGTCAAGGTGGACTCCCAGAGGTAGAAATATTTAAGTTGAAATGTCAAGGATGAACAAGAAGCAGTCAATAGAAAAGGGAGAAAGGGGGTGGGCAGGCATTTCAATCAAAGAGAATAGCATGTCTAGAGCTCGAAGAACATGATGCAACTTGGAGTCTGGTTCAGGAACTAAGTTCACAGTGCTGGGGGCTCTCCTGTTGTTTGGAATCCAACACAACTTGTCAGGGTGAGGGCAGTTGCTCAAAGGCAGCCTCCATGCCAATAATGCTTCTTCTTGTTCTGGCCCATATGTCCTGGTCATCTGGGCCCCAACCAGTGGCACCAGCCTGAGTTTTATCATTTTTCTCTTCCTTTTTGTACAGTTTTTCAAGTATCACATTATTGACAAATTCTGTGCATGTGGCATCCCACCTCAATACCTGTTTATATTCAGATCAGCTCAAGAGATCAAGAAAAGCAAATCTAGCTGGAAATAGGTCTGTCTGGCAGTAGAATTCATAATTTTAGTAGTTACATGTTACACATATTTCTTGACAAGTGATGGGTCTTAAGGAATATAACTCCAAATGCATCCATGGATAATCCCTCTTGCAGGTTTTGATAACAAGATCTCTCAATTCCTCCCTCTTCTCACTCCTAGTTTCTAAATGTTCTCTGCCACATATTTAAGAGAGAGGAGGCATGTGTACTAAGTCTTAGGCCTTTACAATTTCTAAGTATTTTACTACCAACTGATCTGTGTTAGATAATCTTACTAATCAAAATGTGTTCATTTTCTTCAATGTTATCACATATCTCTTCTAAAGTTCTAGAAACCCAACTTTTAAAATGGTATTGGATTTTGCTTTTGAAATATAATATTTGACACCAATGTGGGTCATCTTGTCCCATTCAAGTCTTATCTCTGTGATCTCAAACATTCTATAAATCTTCATAGTTAATGGTCACAGCCTGTGTACCTGCATATTTTTTATTATTCCTAAATTAAATCCCTAATAATGATTGCCTAACAGTAATTTTTATATCTGATAAGAATACTGGAATCATCCCTAGTTGGTTTGGCTCAGTGGATAGAGTGCTGGCCTTCGGACTGAAGGGTCCCAGGTTCAATTCCAGTCAGGGGCACATGCCGGGTTGCGGGCTCAATCCCCAGTAGCAGGCGTGCAAGAGGCAACCAATCAGTGATTCTCATCATTGATGTTTCTACCTCTCTCTCCCTCTCCCTTTCTCTCTGAATTCAATAAAAAAATATATTTTTTAAAAAGACTGGTATCAAGGCATAATCCAAGGGGTATCAAGGCAAAAATAATCTTCCAAAATTCTGCTATTTTTTTCTTCAACGGATTATTAGATTTTTCTTTCCATAAAATTGGGGTCACCAATTCAAATGCTACAGGAGTCAGGTAAGTAACCCTAAGTGGATGAGACTCTCATAATTTAATTAAAAAATACATTTTAATTATATTAAATGTTGCCAACTAACTCAATTTTTAAAGTGGACTAGCACTGTGAGAGTCTAACCAAACCTATCAGGTTTGCTTCTTTGGCCCAAAGACTCTTATTTTTCCCATTTACCTTCTACACAAAAATGCTTACTTTACCTTATGCCAATCAACAGAGTAGTCTTTCTCTTGTTTTTACTGAAGAGACATGAGGTTTGTGGTTGAAATATCCTGCATTTTAAACACATTGTATTACTTATAGAAGATATTGGTAACATGCACATTCAATGCTTGCAACACAATAATAGCAGTAACACAACAGGATCTGCCTTTTAGGAGGTGCTGGGGTCCTCTTCTTCCAAGGCCATCCCCTACAACCTTGGTAACACTTGGAGTACCAGATGGTCATCCAGGTCTTCATGACTATATTATAGCAGCCTTTTAATGTATCCCAACCAGTTCCCATAAATTTTGTAGCTAAATTCACGCTGTTCATATACTCCATGCCTATATTTTATATCCTGGGGCACTGAGCAGTATACTCTCAAAGGAAGATGCATCTAATTTTCCTAAATAAAATTATCTTCTAATTTACTAAAGGCATCCACTTCTACAGTAAACATACATAGTGCCAAAACTTTTCCTGCAGCATTTGGATTTATTTAAATGTAAACATTAAAATGTTGGCCTGCATAAAAATTCAAGGTTCATACATTTCAAAATGTTAACCTCAAATTATATGAGGTCAGAGCTAGAGATCCCCAAATCTCTCAGACAATGGTAACTGAATAGGTCTATTTTATTTTGCTCTTTAGCATGAAGACTGTGGTTGATTTTTCCTAACTTATGGTATTTCTACTATGAAAGCACTAAGAAAAATACATTAAATTATAAGCACCAATCTTATAGGAAAAGTATTCTTCAGTCCTAAGGCAAAATCTACAAAATCATTGAACTGTATATTCTCTCCTCTCTTTCAAATTTCATAGCATAAAATCGATAAAGTCATAAATCACAATGGTGATTGCTCTGCTTGTTCCATTCCCCAACTTTGCTGTCTTTTTTACTCAGCAAATATTTCTGTATCCAAGATTCCTAAGGTACAGAAATAGATTAAGTAATCAATCCATGCACTCTTTTCACTTTATTTTTTAAAGATTTTTTTATTAATTTTTAGAGAACGAGAAAAGGAGAGAAAGAGAGAGAAACATAAATGTGAGAGTAGTGAGACATCAATCAGCTGTCTCCACTAGAGATTGAGCCTGAATGTGCCCTGACCCAGAATCGAACCAGCAACCCTGGGTGTACAGGACACGCCCAACCAACTGAACCACACCAACCAGGGCAACTTTATTTTTTTAACTAAAATTTTAAGCATTCTCTGAGGTGAGCATCTCTTTTTTAATCTTGAAACTTGATTTAACTCAAAATCCAGTCATTTGTCTTCATATCAACCCTTCTATCCCCATCCTATAATTAAGTAATTTCTGCCTGAATTTGCAAGGGCTTATTTAAATATCAGCCTAGATTTTGAGTAATAGACATATATTATTATCTAACTAGGTGAGCCCTCTTTTCCAAATTTTCCTAAGATTTTATTTAATTCAGTATTTAATAACAACTGAACATTGAGTTCCAGTTAAATTTTAAGCTAGAATTTTTAGAATTTCATAATAGTGGGACATGTCCTGTGACTGAAATAAAGTATGAACCTTAGCAGCAACTATTCTGTCAGTTGGCAGTCATCTCTGTCTTTGATCCTTATACTTATTTAATTCTAAAAAGTATTATTCCGACTAAGACCTGGCTGGATAAGTTTCATAGTACTGCTTAAGACTTTACTCAAGTTAACATTTCACTTCCTAAAATGCATTCTACTTCCAAAGGTAAAAAGAAATG